TAATTAAATAAATATATAGTAATATTTTAAACAAAATAAATGAAAATTATACTGACCTGCTATATATATTTTTTTTTTGAACGTAGAGAACAGACCACTTCTGAACTGATAAACTCCGTTATAATAAAACACTGCCGGTACTGTTCATTATCGATTTATTCACAGTCACCCAATTTACAATAATCAGGAGCCAACTATGCTTGACAAAATTAGAACGAAGAGTGACCCCCCACTGACGACATCATGGGTTTTTATAATACTCGTTTTATGTCAAAACAGCAACTAAAGTGTCAAGCATAGTTTTTACAAAATCCAATTGAAATACTTATTAAAATAGAAATTTAATATAATCTAACATTAAAATATAAAATTAAGCTAACATATATGATTAGCGTTTTAAATTGATAAGGTCATGACACAACTTTCGTAATAAAACACTTTTATAGATTATAACTACCACAACATATTCAAATTATACACATACACAATAACTGCCATGTTAACTGTTATGTAATACTAAAGCAAAATGGCTATGAACAAACACAAATGACAAATTAGAAGATGTGGCAGAATTATAATACATATAAACATAGGTATAGTCATTTTAGTCTATAGACAAAGAGTTTGACGTATGTTCGAGTAACATATCATATGTATAAACGTCCAGATGTCCAGTCATAAATAATAAAGTACTCAGAACATGGTTAAAATATTTTTTTGGAAAAATCTTATAACTAAATCGGATTTCAAGGGAAATACTAAAAATTTCGAGTTAATGAATTTTCGGCATAACGAAATATTAAAGATACAAAGGATTTAATTGCTAAAATTTCAACTTAGAAAGGCACAATTTCTAAGTATATTTTTAGAGTACATATATACTCTACAAGTCAAAGTTAAATAAAAATCCGACTTATGTTTTATAGTATCGATATATTTATTGAAACAAATTTATAAGTGAAGTAAACTACAATTTGTATTATTGTTTGTACAGTTTACTTCTACAACTACAAAAAAATCTGTCATCTTCTTTTAATTTAAGGAATTTGTAGATTTTTTTATCAATTATTATTTTTTCAAGTTCAAACAACGAATCGAGTACATGACCCTCGATGTCATTACATCTTTCAACCTAGGTTTATAGTGAGTGTTAATTGCTACTCTGGCTTCTTTATTTGTTATCAATGGTTCAAAATCTGCTGGATCAGTATCATCAACGTCATTCTGATTAACAGTATCATCATCAACATTTTGACTAACTATGTCAATGTATTCAGCGTCAGTTAGTGTTCTAGTAGCAGCTAGCCCTTCATCACATGTCAAATTTAATTTCTATGTTCTGAATTCCAGTCATCTTCAAAGTTCATGTTCGATTCAACAACTTCTTCTCGTGGCATCGAAAATCCGCAGCTTTTTATATTGTGTTTACAGATACACTTCTCCATGCCTTATCTATCATCCTCATTGCATGCAATACATTTATTATTTCATGAATTCATCCATTGCACATGTATTTAAGGTACAAAGAATAGATTAGAAGCACCGAACATACCTTTTGTATTTTATTGCTATGAGTTCGGGGAATTCCAAGTAACATCGTCATAATATTTTACTAACTTCGAGTTACGGAGTCTGTGTTTTGAAATTCGAGTTATAGGGTATACATGAACGAATTAGAGATGAGGGTATAAATATCTGCTACCAATACTGGCAGGGTAATAACATTTTGTTAGAGTTACAAATTTTAAATAATTCGAGATACCGCCTATTTAGGGTTTCAGCAGAAGGGAATGGCAATTTTATTCGTCTTACTGAGGATTACGTCTTAATGAGGTTCGAATAATCGAGAATTAATTATATATTTTTTTAAATATATAATAAATATAATAAATATTATAATAAATAACGAGAGTTTTTGATAAATAAAATATTCTCAAAAAAAATGGAAACAAGTATAATTTGATCAATTTCGACACAGATCACATAATGCTACATATACTAGAGATGAACAGTGAACTATCGTAGACTAGAGTTCTGTATAGTACGAGAATATCAACATTATTGTTTGTTACTTTCATTTGATAGTTTTAATAGTTTGAAAAGTAAAAATTTGAAAAAGAATGTCCGATTTATATATATTTTATTTAGATTATGCATATTTGAATTTCGTTTTTGAATATTAGCGTTATTCAAATCTAGCAAGACATCTAAATACCGTAACGTAGGTAACTTAATACTACAAAGAGCTGTACACATATAATGACTTGTTCATAAAACATACAATGAAGTAGGTGGATTCTAAAATGTAGCGTGAATTGACTTCTTAAAAATAATAATACGAAACTCAAAAGACTGAAAAGATTTCGAGAAAAAGAATTAACTAAAAATATTTTTTAAAGATTCTAGATAAAGTTGACTTGAGAGGCTTCTTTCGTTTTCTTTTTGAATATAATTTTAGAAAAAGTCAAAAGTTTCGTTTGTCTAGGGTACTGGAGTAAACCTCCCGACTTGTGTTCACTTTGTCGTGGTGGAGCCGGGCGCCAAGACAAGAGACACACAGGAAATTGGCCCACTTCGGTAGGCCATTTGGCCATGCGGGTTGTTCCTGGCACTTCTCTGACAGCAGAGTGGAGCGTTGGAGCAACCCTATGGTTGTATGGTCTGCTTCGCCAGGCCTACCGTCAAGGAGTCGTAGTTGATTGCGTAAGATAACCTGCGACGCCTCATTAAAACGGGGGAGGTGCTGTTGGGTTTTAGTAGGTAGTGATGGCTTTTTAGCCAGTTTTTTGAGTCCCACATAACTATCTGTATATGTATATACAGGTGGTATATGTATATGAAGGTGGTATGCGTAAATGCATTTCCCATTTTTTATAAGAATATTTATAGCAGAAATGTTCATGAATATTTTTATAAAAACATGAAATGTTAGCATATTTTCTTATTCTACATATGTATTATTGGTGAGAATTCTAAATGGTACAATAAAATATGATACAAGATCAATACTTTTGTTTTCAAGTGTGAAATATTTTTTTCATAAAGCTTTTTTCATAAAAGTGGAATAACTATCTTGAAAAATGTAATTTGATTAAAATACAATGTCTTTTTTGTTATTTTACCATAAAAAAGCTTTTATTATTTTAAGTTTTGAGTAAGAATTGAGTACGAGACAATGTTATTCATATCCCTTTATTTTCTAGAAAAAAGCTGATGGCCTGCAAACGGCTGAACAGATTTTCTTAATTTATATCTAAGAACACTTTCGATCAAGTAATCTTTATATTCAGTCCTTTTTAACGTCCCATTGCTGGGCACGAGCCTCCCTTAAATACGAGGGGGATCAGGTTATAGTCCACCACGCTGGCCAAGTGTATGGCGGACTTCATATGTCTTTCGAAAACTTGCTAGATTTTATTAGACATGCAGGTTTCTTCACGATGTTTTCCTTCACCATAAGGCAAGTGATAATCATGTTAGAAATGTTTCGCACTTGAAAATATCAGAGGTGCGAGACCCGGGATTTGAACCCGCGTTACTTATTTCCCAAGCGAGCGCGTTACTACTATAATACTACTACCCTTTCCTGATTTCTAATCAAGTAACCTTTGGAACGAAGAAATAAATCAAAATCGGTTTATCTGTTTGGGAGCTACAATACTATAGACAAATACACACATTAAAATTATACCCCTCATTTGGCGTCAAGGGCTAAAAATGAGGTGAACTGAAAGTAAAAAGAAAGAGGAGACTCAAAGCACTTTTACGAGTGTAACGTTGTTTGTGTTAAGCAGACGGTTTTATAATATGTTACCCACTTTTAACAGCGTATTATAAATAAATAGATACTTGTTTAAATAATTGATTATAATTAATTCAATAGGTTATTAGTACTTTAAAGCTAAGTTACACTAAAGTCATAAAGTGTTTTCCTAAAACATTTCACCCTTTTCAATTACTACATTGTGATGTGAAGAATTTTGAAAAATAGTGTATATATAGCTCATCCATTTTCTAGCAGGAGCTAAATGGGAATACATTCCTACAGCTTTCGGATAAACCGGCGATAATCAAAGAATGAAATGAGTATTCATTATTAACTGATTTATCTTCCAAAATAAAGGCTTATCATGAACAAAAAAAAAATAATTTATGCTGATCCTTTACAGCGTAGACATTTACAGCGTAGTCCAGGTGTTATATGTATATACATGTATGATGTATGAATATAAAAGAAATGCATACACATATTATATGTATAGGTATGTATGCATATGTTTTAACCCTACCTTTAATATATTAAAAGTACTACACCAGAAACCTTCGCGGATCAAAAAACACAAAAACTTTCCACGTTTCATCATAATTTAAGACTGATTGAGTAATGTAAATGTTTCCACGTATTTTTAAATAATTTAACTATAAGCAAGTGTAATCTAAACTACATTACCCATCCAATTGAAGGGCTCTCATCTTTCATTTCACTGAGTTACCGGACCTGATCGATATCGACTTACGCTCATGATCATTGGCCTGGAACTTAATAGCTCTATCGGGTTCTCTTTGCTTATATAAGACCTGGACAAACCTGTGAAATTGAACAAGTGAATGGTTCACGAAAGGATTTAATTTGTTTTAGGTATCCATTTATTTTAATTTTGTGGGTTTGAGATCATATTTTTAATTGTATGAGTAAAAATAGAAGAAATCTAATGTGTCGAAATGTTTTGGCTTTCTTTCTTTGTTAAATAGTTCTAAAATAAAGTTTATATATGTTTGTTTATATTTTTTATTCGAATTTCAAGTTCATTTTATTTTATATTCAACAAAATATTGTATATTAGCTTTTTTTTAAATTGAATTCATTTTGAACTATACAATACAAAAACTACCAAGGTACAACGCAATTAGGCTCTATATGCACCTACAATGATTACTCGTAAAATGGTGTTATTCTTACCTAATCAGCCAACCTTTATTTTTAAATATTATCTATACTAAAAAAGATTAGTCAATTTATTTTTCAATTTGACAATTTTCATCATTTTAGCACTTTTAATTCCAGTCACAGTTCGGTTGCTGCCCATAACTATAATCGGATCTGCATTTTTATTTTTTATTAATGCTTCATTACTTTTAGCAACAAAATATATTTCAGGCATTTCGAAATGCTTAATATCCTTAACATCATCATCGGGGAAAACAACATAAACGACAATAGGTTTCTTATTATCGATACTACCGATCCTTACAGCTTTTGGAGCAACAGCTACTAAAACTTTATATTCTTTAAAAGGCTGCCTAATGATTGGTATGTGAATAAAACTCGTCCCATCCCATAGTTTAGACTCACTGATTTCATGAGAAGCTTTTAAAGGAATTATTAGTTTCGCTATTTGATTGGTGCACCCACTTCCCAAGTCTAGGTCTTGAGGAAAAACTGACGGTGAAAGTATTCCATTAGAGACTAAATGTTTAAATTCTTGCGGAATCTTAGCAAACAGTGTGCCATATGACTTCATTTCTTTTGTTACTCTAGCTGAATCAAGATTTTCACTGCCAATAACATTATTCGTAACAGGCATATTATATGTTGCTTTCAAAAAAACAAGTACACAATAAATGGCTAGTACTTCCTGAAAAAAAAATTTTATTATACTAATTTTTTAATATGTTAAGTTACTTAAATATAATAAATAAATGCTTACGTTTCTTGCCGATGTTACAGCTGGAGACATACTGACTGAGAAAAATGACCCCATAAAGACTATTAAGTCTGTTTTGTCTGTTTTGTCTTCAAACACAAGGTATTCACAGAGGATGTTTAATGGTTTTCAAGTAAAAAGACAAACATCCTTGTGTAGTGTACCATTTTGAAGTTGTTGAAAAACAAATATTCCTTATGATATTGCGCTACAATAAGTATGTAGGTACACATCGAGATAAAAAAATAATTTTAATTATCCATATACGGCTTAGTAAAGTTGTTAAGTTTTATTATATATTTTCATATTTAATTGATATTTACCAGCTTATTCATGAAAAAAAACTACTGAATAAAAAAATAGAACATTGACTATTTATTATTTTTGTTTTGAACTATACACCTACATACATTTTGATTAGGGCTCCTATAATATAATAATTTTATATATATTTCAAAGAAAAATTATAATGTGTAGAAAAAAAACGTCTTTAAGTACCTATAACTAACTAAAATAACAGAGACACATTAATATGAAATTATTCTCTTTTATATTACGTTTACAAGTAAGTTTAATTCAATTTGAAGACTTTATTAAAAAATATGAGTTCTAAGGACTTTTCGCCTTCACATAATCTTTAACTTATACTTATGTACCTTTCGATATTAATCTCATATCTTGAATTTTAAGAACAAAACTTTTATGGGCAAAACTAAGTAAAGTAAAAGTGGGCAAACAAGGTTAAGTATAGATGATCTCTGACATACCCGCTGTTATACAATAAAAACCAAATCTCCCACTGGTAATGGTATGTAAATATATCTATTTAAATGATGAAAAATGTAAGTACTGTTACTTTCTGAAAAGTTTACTGATAAAGTGCAAAGTTGCTTAAGATTTTGATATTTTGATATTTGATATTTTAGATATCGATAAAAAGTACTAGATACACAATCCCATGCAAAAGTTCTCATAAAACTGTCACCAATTGTGTTTAGGTAATTATTTTAGTTGAAATAAATTACAACAATGTAAATTGAACGAAGTGCAATGCTTAAAGTTGTTTTCACAAAAATAAATTTAAATTAAAAGCGCGCTCAAATGTTCAAATGAGCGCTCATTCGATTAGGACATTTTTGTCGATGATTGTGTATCTAGTCCTTTTTGATCGATGATTTTCCGTATAATCTAATCATACTATGTTCGGTAATATCGTTTCAGTTGATTAAATCCTCGAACGATAATAGATGAGCAAATTAAGCTTATCGTCTATCAATCGATCTAGTGTATGACGAATATGATATTTCGATACCTACAAATCAACTTTTATTTTACACTTAATGATCTGACAGACTTCGTTCCTTCCAAATGTCGAGAGAGTGTGTAATCTTAGAGCTAATACAAATATTGTAGCAAATAATTCACTTTCACTTTTACCCGAATTTCAAAATTTTCGGGAAACTTTTTATTTACCAATAAATTTTTTACCGGAGCCTAGCTAAAAAGCTGTACTAAAAATGACTACTCAGGTCTCAGATATTTGCCACAAAAAAGAGACAAGGAGTAGCCAAAAGTCAAGTTTTTCCTTACCAACGCCCAAAAATTAATATTAACAGTTATTGAACCATTAAATTAACGCTGTTGTAAAGAAATCTAAACTAATAATAGCTTTCGTCGGACGTTAAAAGCGGAACTTAAACTATGCCTCTGCTAATGAATTGTTGTGTTAATAAGAATTTGTGTCCGAAGTTGCTCTTTTTATTTAATCTTTGAATAGCAAAATGTTGTTGTAAAAAAACGAAAGTTAATCCAAAACAACTTTTAAAATATTACTTTTAGAAATCTCATTACTATTATAAATGCTAAAGTTTGTTGTGTGTATGCATGTTTGTAACTCATTTATGCTAAAACGGCTCGACGAATTTGGATGAAAAGATAAGATACAGACAAAGATCAAGACAAAGATCTAAAGTAACTCATAGGTGTACATTTTTGGTAATATTTGTACTAGTTCTGCCTGTGTATTATATTATAAATAAAAAATCACATAGATGCACTCCAGCGAAGGGAGAGTAAGTCGGCAGTTATTTGCTATTCATGAATAGCTTTATTGTAAGCCCATACTAGCGTGCTTGCTATTATAATCATTATATTATAGCATTCGTACCGAAGGAATCTCAGAGAACTCGAGCACTCTCATTCAAACATAATTATAATACACGTTATACAGGTCTATTGCAAAGTATTTTCTATTTTTTTGCCAACGTCTTCTTATGACTAGGCTTACATGAAAATTAGGGTACCATAAAAATGAAAATAATTTAGAACCGAAAAATTAACTTATTATTATTTACAATTCTTCATGTACGTGGAGATATAGTACGTAAAGTTAATTCCATGGTTGGAGTTAACAAATATAAGTTGATTAAAGCTTTATGTTGACTCCATTTAATTAGATAATCCTAAACAAACCAAATAAAAGAGCTAATTTCTCCTAAGGTACTTTAATTGCAATGCTGTATATTTACTATGTTGCGTGTATATTGTACACATAGTCAATAATAAAAAATATCCCTTGACCAAAAGTATTAGTCACCTTACAATTCAGGAGTTAATTAATAATTATCATAATTTTATTATAAAATAAATGTGCACATAGATACTAGAAAATTCATGTAAAGTAAGCAAATATAATTTTAAATATATTATGAGATCTGGCATCCTACTACTAGAAATACAATTAATAACGAAACAAAGATTATTCATTTTTCAAAATGTCCGCCTGGCTGTCATTGTTATCACACGTTAAAATTAATGTTTTCCTATTATAATATGCTACAGTATTTATATTTATAACAACATTCCTAGAACTTTATCACTACCAAAAATATCTTACGGTCTAAAATTGTTTATGTTAAATAAAAACTTAAAAAAACCGACCTCCAGGCGCTAAAATGTAAAAAATAAGTAAACGGGGGTTTTAATTTAGAATAGATACCCTTCGAAAGAAAAAAAATTAGAAATCGGTTCAGGCGTCTTCGAGTAATCGGTGACCATACATAAAAAAAGAAAGATTCCGACGAATTGAGAACCTCTTCCTTTTGGAAGTCGGTTAATAAAAAGAATCTGTGTTTAAATTATTATAAACATAAATACTTGATAAGGAATTCAGAAATATAATGTTGAAGTAAGGAAGATAAATTAATATTAAGAAAACATTTTTAAAAACAAGCTTTTACATCATATGAATTCTGTAATGTAATAAATGGGTTTAATTTACTTTAAAATTTATTTATTTTATTTATTTATATATTTATTCGTTTTTTTCTTAGCAAAACTTTTCATTTGATTTTTATGAACCCCCATGATATGGAATCACCGGGTACATAAAAATAACGTAGTCCGATATCGTTATGAGTCCACCATGTTGGATTTAGAATGACATCACTTGTGTAACCATGCATTGTCATCTAAACAATACGTGTATGCAAAATTTCAGCTCAATCGGTTGAAGATAACTGTTTTAAAATTCAGTTGTAAGGTTTGCCTGAACAAACTTACATACAAACATTGCAAGTTGAATAAAAGCTTGTAAAATACTTGACAATGCTAGTTTTATCAGATAATATACCTAACCTAATACATGAAATACTTTGTCCGAGAGAAACTATTATTTTATTAAAGATACAAAGAACGGCTGTCCCCTATACATTGAGGGGAGGCCCGTGCCCAGTAGTGAGACTCTAAAAAAGGTTGAAAAGATAAGATACGTTCTTACGTATTTTTTAAAAAGCGTTATAATATAGTGTCTTTCCCAATTTTCCTTAAATATTATTATCTAAGGTGTATATACAGAATTATTGTTTATTAATTCATGTAATTTGTAAATTTTAATTTCATCTCAAACTTTGAATTAAAATTTTAAACCTCCGTAGACCTTTTCAATCCTCCATGCGGCAAATTTCAGAGCTAAAAAGCAAAAATGTAAGTCAAATTGTATGGTTCTGGCTCTAGATGTTCAAATATCCATCTATCGCTGCATGGTAGGTTCTGCACTTGTAGCGTAATGAATCATGGGCAGGATATAAATTTTGTTCAGAAAAATTCGAGTTTCACATTGTAAATTAAAATTCATTTTATCCTTACCAGTAAATAAACACACAAGTAAGCAATCTACCAGTGCCTTTTTAACAGGGACTAACGCTTTACAAATAATCTTGTGTTTGACATTTTAAAAGCTCTTTTAAAACTTTCCTGAAAGCAAGTACAGGTTATATGTATTTGTTGTTTTTCAAACGGTATGTTATGAAATTTAAGCTTTCCAAATGTTTTTGAAGTGAAATTTTTTGGTAGTATCATTCTACCTTTAAAAATGTAAAATCAACAAGCCAGAAAAAAAACGAATACACAATCTATTCAAAATTACTTGTATTCATTAGTAATATAAAAGCCAAAAGTAATCAATATATTATTATATCTGCTATTTTAGTAGAAGAGTAACATGTACGGCTGCAATACCTCAAGTCTTGGGCAAAGACCCGGGTCGGGTTCAGAATATTTATTCAATTATACCTAATATATTATTATGTGATCTGTGATTATACTACCTAAGAAATCACAATTGTTCGAAGTTGTGAAATTGACGAGGAGACAATCTCGTGCTTCGGAAGATATTTCATTCCATCAAAAACATAGATGTGAAAATGGAAGCCAAGTTCAATATTAAGAATATGCGTGGTTGTCAACTTCATCGACAAAAGAATATAGATCTAAATGGGTGCCAAGTTCTGTAGATAATCCTTAATTTCTTTCATAAGAACATACAACATTCTGAAATAAATTTAACACACAATTATTTGTTTTTTTTTTGCTACAAAAGT